ACTAAATGAGATGTGTCACTGGATGTAAACTGTGTTGCACAGTCTATCTTATTAGCTTGTAGCTTTTTCTTTTTGAGGGAAAGGGAAGCTAAATTTTCCAACGGTCGTTTCCTTGTTCCCCGAGACTGACACCTGCTTGCTCTATCCCTTTTTAGCATAAATTTAGATGACTCATTCATGTTAGAAAACGTTCTCTCCAGATTAGGTTCAGTTTTTGAAGCACAACATATATACTTTATTGATGAGTTATTTTCTAATGATGATGATGATGGAAGATGGGTGCTACTTGGTAGACGGTTGCACGAATTTTTGGCGATTTACGTTGGCGCAGTTGTTGGCGCGATTTTTAACAATCGTCAGCCATCTTGAAACGCTGTTTTTTACCATAGTAAAAGTTCGAAACTTAAAAAAAAATAAATAAAATAAAATAAAAAAAAAAAAAAATATCGTTTAAAAGTAATAGATTAATTTTTTGTTGAAAATGTCTTTTTTTAAGATGGCAGGCAAGTGTAAATAATACATTTACTATGAGTATAAAATACTAAAGTAAGGCTATTAATTACTTTCATATAGCAAGAAAGAGAATAAAAAACACCGCTATAAAAACATTGTGTCAACGTTTAATTAGATTAAAATATGACTGAAATTGAATATCGAATTAAAAACCATCCTACCAACATTTAAAAGAATTAGAATATTATTAAATTCAAATACTTTAAAATACGTTGTATAAATATAATTAACATTAAAACATATGTGACAATAATTATCTCAGCAACTTTTGAAAATAATGTATTAATTTTTTTAACAAAAATTGAAGTTACAGTTATAAATAAAAGAAAAATATGTACTTACATTTTTTTTTTGAAGTAATTTTAACCTCTTGTTTATTGATAAGTACTACAAAAAAATCGAAATCATAATTGATTCGGCTCTTTTAACCATCTTCATCTGTTATCCACATATCTCGCACTTCATTGAAGAAGCAGTTAGCGAGGTTTCCTCCAAAAATTTAAAATAATTTTCCTCTGACGCTATTCAACAATTTATAAATAAATCTTTGATTAGGAAAGACAGGTGGGCCAAAATAAGGTCTCAAAGGGCAATTTTTTTATTCCAATACCAATAATTTTTGGTAATTACCAATAACAACATTCATCTTTGAAAGAGAGATAGCCATTCCATTTGAAATCTGACGAATTCGAAGAGATGAATAATAAAATTTTTAAAATGGCGCGGTAATGCACAAATATTCAGTAACTAATCAGGGAGCTGATTACATCACGCATAGAATTAAAATTATTTAAATAATCATTCATAATAAAATCATTTTTAAAACAAATGCAAAATTAAATTGTATTATAATATTTAACAGCCGTAAATAATGTTGAAAACATTAGATTAAATTTATAGATATTAATAAAACCAATTACTTTTTAAGTAAGGTGACGTCATTGATTACATCATCAACAACAAAATTATATAACATATTATAAACAACAAAATTTTTATTTCAAATAAAAATGTAAAATTAAATTGATTTTTAATATTTAGAAGCCATAAATAACATTTAAAACACAGAAGTTATGCAGAATAAAACGCATTATTTTTTTAATAAAATGACAACAAAGTATCTGTTACCATAAATAACTTATCCAGCAATGGGTTTACCATAAGTTTTATTACTCGCCAAAATCCGTGCAACCGTCTCAAGGAGGTCTATTCTAACCAAAGAGGTTAGAATACATGGAGATGCCCTGCGCGCAGTCCAAGTGAAGCCAAAAAGTGGGGGAAAGCATGCCCTTAGTAGTCGTGGCTTTAGAAAGATTGACGAGCTCTTCAGCCAATGAGGCAGAACCTAGCCACACCCAGTTTCGTAAATTAAAGACCGTGGATTCTTCGCGCGCTTTTTCCTTCACTTTTTCCCGCCATTTCATTTTATTTCTACATTGTAGACGTATTTATTCTTGTAGACGGCTGCAATATTGTTCCGAGAAGCAATTTTTTATTCCTGCCAAAACGGTAAATTCCTGCGTCGCTTTCGGCTGTACAAATAGAAGAATAGCAGGATCCGGTATTACATTTCACAGGTAAATATTCTTTTAACATATATACTATCATTTATTTAATTATACTTTGCTCAAAGTTAGATAAAATTTGCTGTGCATGTTTAAAACATATCCAAGGAAACGGCTGCAAAGTGCTGATAATTGTATCAATTTCTAATGATTATCAGGATATGCAGAGGGAAATTCACAGTACAAAGGGACTGATTCCATTTAAAAAAATACAGTACAAAGGGACTGATTCCATTAAAAAAATACAGTACAAAGGGACTGATTCCATTAAAATGAGTTAAATGAGAAATGCATTATGTAATTACATGCTGTCATTAATGAATGCTAGCAATAAAGGTATTGTGAAAATAAATAAATACTCAAACCATTAATTGATTATATTTTAGTTATTCTAAATATATACAGGTATAATTCTCAATTTTCCATGTTTAGAAATACTACTTACGTTTTGAAAAATATTAATTTGCATGAACAATGATAAAAAAAAATATTTAAATTCTGCATTGTTATTTTTAAAACTCCCACAAATTTCACCCCAATTAAATCCTGTTTTAAATATTTACTTGAACAGAAAATAAAATTAAATACATAAAATATGACTTGTAATGTAATATGATCACACCTTTAAAATAACGCGTTTTTCTTTTCCACGATGAGCTGACCACTCCCCCTTCCCTTGTTACTTACCGTTTTGCTTTTACAACTCAGTTAATTACGAGTATAATACTCAAACCATTAATTGAAGAAAAATCTGAGAATTATAGATGTTTCTTCGCGCACGTCACACCGAGAAAATACTCAAACTCTTTGCTGACGGCTTTTCAAACGCACATTTCAATTATTCTACTTATTTATGCATGTTAAAAAAACATTCTTTTATATGAAAATGAAACCGAAATGTAGACATTATTTCAATGTAACCATTCAGTACCTTATAACCCTCTCACGTCTTCACATAAGAAATCAGAAAACACACTCAAAACTTCAAACAAGCTGACGTTTAACCTCACTTCACATAGTAAGGGAAGCGTTTTCTTGCCCTCACGAGGCGTGGCTTATTTGCTTCCCCCGGCTTCACTCTCCTCGTATTGCGACAGCAGAGACGCCATCTCCATGTATTCTAACCTCCTTGATTCTAACCTCCTTGAACCCAAAGTCCGTAGAACCTTGAACCGTCTACGAAAGTAGCACCGGAAGATGTAAAGTGGGAACAGCATTGGCCTTTCAGCAACCTTTTATGAGTTGAACCAAGCAGTTCTGTCTTTAGATCTCGTACGTAGTCATCAGGTGTAAAATGAAGAGCACATATTCTGACATTTTCGATATTGAAATTATATGCTCTTTTGCAGCGAATAGTCCATAACTTACGAAGTTCTGGATCACTTGAAAATCGATGGTATGTGATGCCTTGACTTTTAGTTTTCCTTCTATAATTCTGACACAAAGCTATAGCACATCTTGCCATTTCCGACTAGGTATAAAAAGAAATTAACAACAAATCAAATGTATCCCAGATCAAATGCAACGAATGTAAACAAACAACTGTCACCCACATGACGTCTGTGAGCGCCCTCTTCGTTGAGCGTTAAAAAACCATCAATTCACCTGGATAACGGCCGGAAAATGAGACTCGGTTGGCGCAACCTATGGCGAAATTTCGTACAGGGATAAGGCTCCTATATAGAGGAGCTTTATACAGGGGTAAAGCAAGGATCAAGTCTGTACTTAATGTGACCGATGATACATCGCCAATTCTGTATAACGAACGCCAGCGAAGCTTATCCAAAGAATACGCAGGAACATATCAAGGTTTCTAAAATATCCTAAGAAGTGTTTTACTCATCTTGGGAACATATTCTTACAAGCGGCTAGACCCCAACCTCACTTTTGCTCATAATCAGAGTCTGCAGGCTGCATTTCAAGGCAGCGTCCTTTTAAGGTGCCAGTTATCTCTTTTCCGGTTTGCTTGTTTAAGTTTTTTAAGAATTCATCCGCTTTTGGTACGTCATCTACGACAATAATGAGCACTTTATCAATTCTGCTTGTTTTGGGGCTGGAGATTGGTTTTCTATTTGCGGGAATGGTGTCACTTTTGTTTGGTTGGTCTTTTGGGGTGGTAGTGAGCTGAGTGGCTGATTCATCTTCGTTGTCCAAATGCATGTCGTCTATTTGGTTCTCTAATTGTTTATATCGATTGCTGGTTTTGAGGGAAGGCTCCTCATCGGAGTCAGAATCCGTTTGTTTATGGCGCAATTTTCTTTTTCTTTTTTTTGAAACCACTAGTGGATTGAAGTATGTCGCAGAAGTTTTTAATCTCTTCAAATTGTTTAGCGAGCTTTTCGTTAGAGGTTTGTAATTCGTTTATTTTTGCATTGGCCATCTCGTTTTCCTGCATACGCAGTTGATTAATGGCTTTTACAAGGAGAAAGTTTAGTTCTTTTTGATCACTAGCGGACATAATCACATTTGGGTCGTTACGGATATCTTGGATATCTTCCACCAAGGATCTGGTAGTTTCGACGTCATTGGATAAAGTAATTTTGTGACTTAATATTTGGAGAACGTTGGGTTCATCATTGAGATGTCTCATGTGAGGATTTTCTGAGTTTGGAGGTGAATTTCCATGTTTGTGTTATTATTAGTTACATTTATGTTTGTTGTGTCATATTGATTAATCATGTGAGGCAAATAAGGTTGGAAAAAAGGCCTAACTAGAGGCCGTACCCGAAGGTACCCTTATCAGCACGGTGAATAAAGAGAATCAGAAGAAAGAATAAAATACGACCTGTTTTATCCAGCGAAGGATGCAGCAGTGGAGTTAAGGCGACGCTTCTGCGAGGCGAAAGCCAAAAGAAAAAAACAACCCAGAGCCCGTGAGGCGAGGTCGATGAACTCGGTACAGTAGCGGGGGTGGCAGCAACGCAAGGAAACGGAGAGCGAAGCGATAAGACGTGTATCTCGAACGCTGTCCCACCTCGGAATTCAGTAATTGCGAGCGCTTGGATGAAATCCAACATGAGCATTTGTAAGCGCTAGGACGAAATTCCCTTTTTCCGTCTGTCATTTCGAAACCCGGGCGATGAGTAAAAGTGAGGTTTGGGGGACTAGATGCTTATGATTGCGCATGCGTGAAGCATAAACCATACTAGAACTACAGGCTACCTAGGAATTTTCGTAAATATAGCAGAAAATATTTATAAAGATCTCTGCACCGGTAAAAAAAGTGCTACTGTTTCTTTCTACTGGTTTATTCTTGATTATGCTAAAAACATAGAGAAACCTGGCAACGATTTCACTTGTAATTTAAATTTTAAAAATCTGAGTATATAGGTATTTTCTAGAGTGTGAAATGAGTAATCGTGGTCGGAGAGGTATGTTTAGTAATATATAGGAATTTCAAATTGGTCGTGTTTTGATTATAATATGGTTTAAAAGTATTCTGAGATAATTAGATTGTATATTTTATGTACTTTTAAGAGGTCTTGATAATGTTTTATACTGTATTAATTTGATGAAACATGAGGCAAACAAAGGTTAATAAATTAAATCAGTTTCCTATAAATGTAGAATTTCCACTTAAATCCTATATTTCTTGCCAGAATAAAACTGCATCTTTGTTGAAAGATCTGACAGTTAAAAAATGAAGATTTCTCATTAATATTAGATGTCTGATGATAATTAGTACTTGATGTCTTTCATTAATTTTTAGTTATTGTTGGCATTTTTTTTATTGATTCAAATAGTTTTCTGCAGTAAAAATGATTGATTTTGTGCTTCTCCTATAACAAAACATTTATCAACTCATTTTTGTTCTCTTAAATGAACTTCTGAAATATATGAAATAATTCATATTTTTCAGATCATGTATGTAAATGTGATGTAAATTTGAAATTTTTATTATTTTATTGCAGAATTCGGTAAAATCCTAGTATATGGTGCAGCCTTGGCGCGACTTTAAAATTATCGCCAACACCAAAAATGATCAAAAGAACGTCTATGTATATACTATACACTATATAGTATCACTATATACATGGTATATACTATGTTTAACTGTATATATATTCTTTGAATGACCTCTTAACTACTCATCGGTATATGTCCCGTTTTTACTGCTTACTATCATAAAGTCGCCAAAAGTAGCCAAATCCCGTGTGCACCGGATACTAGGATTAAACCCAGAATTCATGAGGTATTTGCATTTGTAAAAATTATTGTCATTATAAATGACACAGGTATAAATTTGAACTATTTAGAAATAAATTTTCAGTACTTTTCTGTTGTTGAGACCAGATTCAGAAATGTGGGGATGTATGTGTTCATGTTTTCATGCATATAAGTATATATGTGTTGTGTTGGCAAACATACATACACACATACATCCATACATTTCTGAATTCGGTCCCCCAGTAACAGAAGAGTACCAAAATTTTCTTTGTTTCCAATGATTTTTTACTTCCAGGTCAAGGCCAGAGGAAACGTAAAAATTATAATAAAGATGATGAAGCAAATAACAGTGTTCCAGAAGATGCTTCACATATTGTCAAATTGTTCCATTCTTATCAGACTGAATTAGATGCTAAATATGATAAATATGAAAGGCTGATAAAGAAAAGCAGAGATTTAACAATTGAAAGCAAGAGAATTATTTTCTTACTGCATCGAGTTTCCAGGTGGGTTGGGTTTCATTGCTTATTTTATAAACAAATTTGTACTTGTTTTAGTGTAGCTGGCAATCCAGTATATTTTCTCTAAAAAATGTTCTACATATTTTGCTGTGGGTTTGGACAGTATATTAATTTAAATAAATAATAATTAAGAATGCATATAAAATATCAGGGTATAGTGCAGAATCACCCACTTATTTGTTTGGTGCTGTTTACAAGAGTAAGAAGAATTGGATTTTTGTCAAGTTTCTTTGACTTTTTAAATGAAATTAGGTCGATGCGTACATGGATAAAGTCAAGGTATTGTGCAATGCCATTTTTGTGCAATTCTGGGATTTTTTTTTTTAAAGTGAAAATAAATCTATGTGTACATGGATACCGAGTTTGTGCAATTCTTAAAAATGCACAAAGGAGTGGGGGATTCTGCACTTTTTTTTTGTGGTATTTATCAATATACGACAGGTAAAATACTTTAAAAAAATGTAAGTACATAATTTTCTTTCACTTTATAATTGTATTGCTTCAACTTTTATTAAAAAATTAGGTTGATCTTTACATTATGGTAACTTGGCGATTTTTTGGCGAAAATTTGGCAACCAACTCTCCTACAGCAACCCTCTATTTTTTTTCCCGCCGCCATTTTGTCTTCACAAAGTAAAGACATGTTTCTTTTCTTTTTATGTACTGAACACTTCTTCCAACAATCTACTAGCCGAATTACACTTATGCTAGAAATTTTATCAAACAAAACTGCTTAATCATGACAAATGTTCACTGCAAAATTGGGAAAAAGTGCACAATACCATACTCCTTACACGTTTTTCAAAATAACACATACACATAAACCATGTACACGCCGACTTATTTTTACTTGAAAAATCATCCCAGAATTGCACAAAAATGGCATTGCACACACTCTTCACTATATCCACGTACACTGCTTTTTTCTCATAAATTAGAAAAATTTCACGAAAATACATGACAATTTTCTCAATCTTTAAACCCGGTAAAAAGAACATATATGAAATTACCTGATAGCGAAAAAGTATTAACCCTTTCCAAATATGAACATTTCCACATATAAAATAAATAAAATATCCAAAAACTTTTACCTCTAAATAAATCATCTATTATATTATAAACGTCACCAACGAATTCATACCGCAACCATTACAAATACTTAGTGTCAGATATTTAAATTATTTCCATGCACGTTTACTTCAACTAAAACGTTATACCAAATTCCTACAAACATAAAATTCACAAAATAACTATCATTTCATTAAAATATAATTAAATTCAAAAACACTACTTAAAATATAAATGAGCACATACATTAAATTAATAAAAATTACCTTACAATCCTAATTACTTTAAACTAAATCATTGCTAATAACAATTTTCCCAATAATACCAAATTCCTTTCCACCTACATTTAGAACAATGCATAAAAATAATATCCTCAAATAATTAAAAATACTAACTTACCTAATCTTCTTCAGAATCTTGATTACGTGGCGGATACACTTTTCTAATTCATTCAATAAATTATTGAAAGATTTTTTCTGCAAATTTTTTCCTCCATACTTCCTCCGCTAAATGAAAAGCAAACTTCTCTTTATCACAATGGCTAAATACTCATTTCGAATTCACTTTAGTTAGGGCCATGGGATCCAAAAATTAACCAACATTGTTTCACACAACACAGAATAAAGCTAAATACAAAATTTCCAGATTTTTCCCGATTTCCCCCCTTTTTCCTATTAAAGAACCGTAATTCGTCCATTAATATCACATGACATATCCCATGATCTCTCATTTCCCTCACGCAAAATAATGCGTAATCGGAACTGAGTACTGCTCACATTATTACCAAAGTCCCAGGTAGTAACCTTTATCGCCTCCAAAATGTCGCGAAACTACCAGTTACCATATTGTAAAGATCAACCAAAATGGCTCAGTATAACTGAATGTTAGAACAATGCTATATATAATACTGTGATTGTATCAAATGAATAGTCTGCATCGCCATTTCGCTACCGACTTATCGCTAAAGCATAATTTCATCTCGTTGGTTGTTTAAACGTAATTTTCTATAATGAATGATGCCTTTTCTTTGAAAATATTCTCGGTAAAGTGCAGAATCGCTCACTTATTTGTTTGCCACTTTTTACAAGGGTAAAAACAATTGGATTTTTGTCAATTTTCTTTTACTTTTTAAGTGAAAATGGGTCAATGTGTACATAGATAAAGCCAAGTGTGTGCGCAATGCCATTTTTGTGCAATTCTGGGATTTTTTTTTTAAGTGAAAATAGATCGATGTGCACATGGATACCGAGTATGTGCAATTCTTAAAAAGGCATCAAACAGTGGGTGATTCTGCACTTTACCCAAAATTCTATTGCCGACTTTTCGTCATGGGCAATTCCCAAATTGTTAAATCCATAGGATATTAAAAAAGGATTTAAAAATTAAACTAGTATTTCAGTGGCGTCTTAAGAAATATAGTCTTAAGAAATATAAAACTATATAAACTTATGCAATCTGAAATCAGCGCATACGCTAGATTTGGCACACTGTTAAATGGGCGTGTTTGCTAGATTTGGTGCTTTTACGCATATATTTTCGCTGCAATTTTTTACGGTCCTCAAAACGGAATAGTACCCTTATTTTAAAGTATCTAAGTAATATTTTAATTCTTCTAAACGTTGGTATGATGTTTTTAATTCGATATTCAATTTAAGTAATATTTTAATCTAATTAAATCTTGGCGCAATGTTTTTATAGTGGTGTTTTTATTCTATTACATGAAAGTAATAATTTGACCTTACTTTAGCATTTTATACTCTTAGTAAATGTATTTATTTACATTTGCCAGCCATCTTAAAAAACAACATTTTCAACAAAAAATTAATCGATTATTTTTTTAAAGTTTCGAATACTTTATTATATGTGTATAATACATAAAAACAGCATTTTTCAAGATGGCGGACAACTGTAAAAACCGCGCCAAGGTAAATCATCAAAAATCCATGCAACCATCTACCAAAGTAGCATCTCGGCTTTTTTTTAAAGCGAAAATAAGTTGATGTGCACATGGATACCAAGTTTGTGCAATTCTTTGATTTGTTATTTTGTTATTGTGTAGCAGCGATTTTTACGCCAAAAATCGCCACTACACAAAAACAAAATAACAAGTAAAAAAATTGCACAAACTCCGTATCCATGTACACATCAACCTATTTTTACTTAAAAAAATCAGAGAATGGCACAAACTTGCCATTGCACACTCGCATGTCCATGTATGCATAGATCCTATTTTCACTTTAAAAAAAAAAAAAAAAAATCAGAGAATTGCACAAATTTGGCATTGCACACTCCCTTGACTTTGTCCATGTACACATTGATCTATATTCACTTAAAAAGTCAAAGGAGCAGCCAACAAAAAATATATAATCTCAATAAACTACATTTTAAATCAAGCAATCAAATAACATAAAAAAGGAATTTCATCCTAACGCTTACACAAAGGAAATAACCACTTACCTTATTTAAAAATTTCTCTTTCTTCAGTCAAACAAAATTCCTTAACAGCATCCAGAAACTTTTAAAAATTATCTGAACTAGAATCTGTATACTGGCGATGCCACATAAATTCGCAAAAATAAGAGTAAAAAAGTATCCTCCGTAGTATCGGTAACCTCCGACGTTCGATCATGCACATTTCCTTCCTACAAATTGGACATGTAAATGTACTGCTTATAATGGCTTCTAAGTAAACCTTCATTTACACACCACTAAATTAATGCTCTTTTCCCCTTTCGTTCCAAATTGTACAGAAACTTCAAATTAATCTTACCACGTTCGGCCATTCTACCGTCTAAACCACAAAGCAAGCAATGTACTTCCTAACCAACACACACCACAAGCCCTTACAAATCTTTTCCCATAATTCAAAATTTACTGCAATCATGCAACCGATCACATCATAATAGGGTCTTCATAACAGTGAACTACTCAGGTTACCATAAATGAAACTACAACTTCGCGATAAATGAAACAACAACGTTGGGATCATACAAGTGGCATCCTTCAAGCTACTCTAACCAGTTAATGTTTCACAGCAAATTCTGAAAACCTTCATATTACAATATATAGCGACTGATACTTATGTATTTAAGAGGGAAGACATTCTTGAATTTGCATTGTTCAGAAAAATGTTCCAAAATGAATTTTAATATTATTGAATTCCAGTTCACATCATTTGAAAATTTCTGGTATATTTAGTGATTTAAAAATAACAAAATAAGTTGAATTTTCAGTTTTTTTAATTGTAACCTATGTGCAGTTTCGTATGCCTTTTTATTATTTATTTATTTTTATTTATTTATTTATTTATTATTTTAATGTTCTGTGATTCTGCTTCACTGCAATTTCTTGTGGCCAAAAACGTGTTGTTGCTTCGAATGAGTACAGTATAAAGTCTCTAATCCGGACGTCCATTATCCGGAATGATCTATAATCCGGACCTCAAAGCCACAAACTTACGCATGCTCGTAAAGCGTTTATGTAGGCACGTTTGATGCGCGCGTCCGCTACACATGTGTGTAAAACCAGTAAAGCGTTTACCCATGTGCGCTTCCGATAGTGAAGAAAGTAACGGAGAACGTTGTTGAAAACGAAAAAATTTCGATTGACAAGTTGGTATTCTCGACACAGCAATTACAGGACTTGGAACAGTGGAACTTTGTAACTGAACAAGAAATTATGTCTGTTTATAGAATTAAAGATAAGAGAGCACAAAAAACGAAGCGACTTAAACAACTTACACTGATAGAAATGTTTACTAAAGTAAACAAATAAATATTAAGCTTTTATTTATTTATTTTTTATTTTTTAAATTTTGATACCCTTTAGATCATGATTGCTCTTTATTTCAGAAATTACGGTTTCATATTTTTAATTGTATTATTTCTTCATACCATCTTACCAGATTTAAATTGATT